CACAACAATTAAGAGTATGCTAATTATTCTCTGTGTGTAAAAATTGCTCCTAAACCGTCTTAAATCAAAATGTTAATACTGGCCCCGTCCTATACTTTGTTTTCCCTAGCAAGCCCAGGAACTGCTGTGTGATGAAGCCTCAGAGGTTGATATTACCTGACAATAACTCCGGGACGAAGGTCAAAGTTCTTCCTCACAATATCAAGTAGTTCTCTCTCGCTCTTCTGAGAGGTCCCGTAGTGGAAGATAGAAATGGAGAGTGGATGGGCAACTCCAATGGCATAGGATACCTAATATAGCACACATATGTTATAACAAGCATATACATAAAAAATTAAAACAAAACAAAAAAAATAAAACATCTCCAGATGGAACCTCTGGGAACCCCTCACTCTAAAGAGAGAAGCAGCAAACTTTAGCAACACAGCTTACCTGCACCAGCACTCTTCGGCACAGTCCAGCCTTTACCAGGGACTTGGCCACCCAGCGTGCAGCGTAGGCAGCAGAGCGGTCCACCTTTGTGTAATCCTTCCCGGAGAACGCACCACCACCATGGGCTCCCCAGCCACCATAAGTGTCTACAATGATTTTACGTCCAGTCAGGCCAGCATCTCCCTGTAGAGAAGAGCAGTTGTTTCCCAGTTAGTAACTTCCAGGATTTCTAGTTAAAATCAAGTCACATGATGGGATATGTACCTGAGGCCCTCCAATGACGAATCGCCCGCTGGGCTGCAGATGGTAAATGGTGTCATCATCCAGGTAGACAGAAGGAACAACGGCCTTAATAACCTTCTCCTTCAGTGCATCTCTCATCTCCTCTAGGCAGATTTCCTCATCATGCTGCACAGAGATAACAATGGTGTGCACTCGCACGGGAAGCATGGCACCCCGGTCTTGACGGTACTGCACAGTAACCTGCAAGAAGATGAATGAATTAAATAAAGCTTCCAAAATCCATGACAAGCAGCAGCCAGAAGATGGCGCAACTTTTAACACATGTATTTCACATTTTTAGATGAGCGTTCTCAAAAGGCTCATGATGTGCAAACCCTACCTGCGTCTTTGAGTCTGGCCGGAGCCATGGGAGAGCGCCGTTGCGTCGCAGTTCAGCCATTTTAGCATTCAGCTTGTGGGCAAGGATAATTGTAAGAGGCATGCACTCATCAGTCTCATCAGTTGCATATCCGAACATCAAACCCTGTTTGGTCACAAAGAAAACGACCATAAGTGAGCTTTAAGCATTTAATACTCAAGAAAAAGCTCCCAACCTTGCACCGACTACTGACCTGGTCCCCAGCCCCAACGTCCTCTTGACTCCGATCAATGTGAACACCTTGAGCAATGTCAGGAGACTGCTGCTCCAGAGCCACAAGAACATTACAGGTCTTGTAGTCAAAGCCTGTATAGAGAACAGTTATAGATGAAGTCCCTACACATATAAACAGAAAGCTTTAAGAGGAAAAAAAATTAATAAATAAATGCTGCACCTTTGGATGAGTCATCATATCCGATTTGACGGATGGTTTCACGCACAACTTTCTGATAATCCACGACAGCATGCGACGTCACTTCCCCCGCCAACAGAATCATCCCAGTCTTGGCAACAGTTTCTGCATTAGGAAGGCAGATGCAAATAAACACACCTTTGAGACTTTAAAGCCATTAATTATTGCAGCGATTTAGTCTAAAGCAAATCTTAAGTTACATCAGTCATAATAATGAGAGAAATCTAGCATGTCTTACCACATGCAATTTTGGCATCTGGGTCCTGCTTGAGATGGGCATCCAGGATCGCATCACTGATCTGATCACAGATTTTATCTGGGGGAAAAAGGCAACAAAAAGATATACATCTGCATCAGATAAGTGAAGAGAGAGAATTTGTAATAATGCTGTCTGGTCACGGTTGAGGCAAGGGGAAAGAAGAGACATGGTGTATCGTTACAGTCGCCATTTCAGCAGCTGTACATGTGGTTCAGGAGGAGACAGCGCGGGCAACTAGACCGGGACCGGAAACAACCATTCATATAAACCCTTTATGGCACCAAGCTCAACACTCCTCACTGAAATCAAATGATACATCCAGGACCATCGTTTGTCCAGTCATGTCCACAATGTGGAAAACGTCTCAACAGGACTCAGCATTTTATGAGCTAGCTAGCATTAGCTTGTAGCAGCGCGTGCTCTGAGCGCTGGCCCGCGACATCCGCGAGGCTGGAAAGAATTGCCTTAAATATTTAAAGCTTTTCACGCAAGATGGACACTCAAAATGACGAGCACCGCGTAAAAACAGAAGCAGAAACGACACAACCTAAAAACAATGCTGTAAAGCTGCCTGGTATGTGAGGCAGAGAAGGCCGGCGTGTCGAGCCTTACCGGGGTGTCCTTCTCCCACCGACTCCGAGGTGAACAAGAAGCAGTCCTCCTCGATCAGGGAGTTATGGAAACCATTAATTTCTCCGTTCATCATGGCTGCTTTTACGAAGTAATATAAATGTTACGCTCACAAGGTATCACGTTTCAATAAAATTGATTCCTTTTTTTTTTTGTTATTTTAGAGTACGAAATCACTACGCCTCTGTAATTGATCCTTACACTTGAGCCTCATGGCGCAGAGCTCCGGTATTTATACTGTGAAGACTGATGTCTTGACGTCAGAGGAGGCGGTCAGTGTCGCTGAACCTATCAGAAGGCAGCACCTGACTGCAAGCAGGAATGTGGTGCTTGGTCCGAAATTTAGAAAAATCACATGCTTACGCAACTCCACGTTAGAAGTTTGCTCCCAGTGTACGCACGTTGGTATGCGAGCATTCATATCAATATATTGGCTTTATGAAATGTGAAATCATACAGAATAAGCGGAGGTCAATTTAAATGTCGTTTTATCTCAGTTTGTCTGAAATTTTGTTCATAAACAAAATAAGATATTTAACACTGAAGTTTTTATCAGCAAAGTTCCACGTGACTTTGCACTTTCTGTGCTTCTCCACACACACAATGTTTAAATTTTACTTTTCTAAAGCTTAAAAATTAATCTCACTTGGTTCAGTGCTTGGTCAAACCTGAGTTACCCAACAGATAAAAGTTAATAACTGTTAACCAAACATTGAATAGATACAATGCCTAGACAAAATGAATCATGACTGATTTGGTCCTTTTCAAACAGGTATATCGCCCCCTGTTGTCTGTTATAAGCAATGAAAATGAATTCATCTGTTAGTTCTTCACATGCTCTCTAACTCTCATTTTCTCTCTCAGTGCTCTGTTATACTCTATAAACTGGGAGTCATCTTAATTACTGGTATGCCAAGTCATAAAAGTGAAGAAGAAATCTGTCAAATCATGAATTAAAACTTAAATTATTACAGAATTTACAAAAACTATAACATCAACTGCTTAAAAGCAATATCTTACTTTGAGTAAAAAGTATGATTGAACTTTTACACATTTAATTTTCATTTAAATCAAGAAGTCTATAAACAAATCATTTTTGCAAATTTAATTGTAGCAGGTATTGAGGCTGTGAATTGTGCACTTCACATGGCATTTGGGGTTCACTGGAACAAACTTATGACACTGGTAAAACTTCCTTTCCCTAAAGTCATTTACACTCTTTGGTATAACCCACTCTTCCCCTAAACAATCTGGTAAGACACTCACAGAAAATTCTGGTTTTGGTGACAGACCCAGATAAACCTGGCCAGTGATCACGTCTGACTTGGTTTCAGAGTGAAAACTGGCCTTTGGGTGAACGATATACGCAGAGAAAACTGTAACTGGAAATAATCAATTATACTATGCTTAAAAAGCTCAGATGTACATCTACTGCTTTAGGCCTTCCAGCGTAATATGATTAAATGTGATGTTTGTGAACATGCTGCTCCACAGTAACCCAGAGATGGACTCAGTTAATCAATTTAATCTGCTACTTTGCCTATAAAATCAAAACAAAATTTTATTTGGAGAATATCAGCAGAACATGTACAGAACATTTTTACTTATATCCAAAAACTTTTAAATGTTTTTTCCCCCCCTCTACTAATGAGTTAAGATTAGAATTTATAATTCAGATCTGAAAACTGAAAGAGATAAAACTGAATCTGTTTTGATGAGGAAAAGGTTGTTAACATGCCAACTTTGTTCTTACTGCCAGCTTTTATCACTTGACTGAGTTCACCCTCTGACTGTTACTCTGTTTTATGGCTTTTATTTGTGTCATCAGACGTTGCAGGTCAATCCCTGAGCAGTGTTGCATCAGAAAGGAAGAGTCAGCATGAATTGGCACTGTGGACACTTGTTACAAAGGTTGGAAAAGCATGATGCAAGATGTCATGAATGTTGCCCTCAGCATGATCTCTGATTGTGTTTAGTCTTGCATATTTACTTAGATGGTTAAAATAGCAGGTCAGTAGCAGAATGACCTGTCAAAGGGCAATATCGGATCAATAACAGAGTTAACACCTCCTCTAATTTTAGCAAAAATTCTGAGAAGTATGGTTCTTTAACCTTTTGATAGAAATATGTTGCTTTACCGACATATTTTTACCGTTTGTGAAAGTTTCCGTTTCACAAACGGAAACTTAAAACTAGTTTCAGCGTCTCTTTTCAAAGACGCTGCTTACAAAGAGTTAAGCAGTGTCTGTGTATGACTCAGCATATAACTTTTTATTTGAACCCTCATTTGTTTAGTGCGTAAAAATTCATAGAAATATTATCGACAATAAAAACTGAAATACCATTAACTCACAAATACAAAAACTGACCTTTTCATTTTTTGTCACAGTACCAAATATTTTGATACATTTCAGTGGAGATTTTTATGATACATCAGCTCAAAGTATCTCAGAGTTACGAAGTGATAAAAAAAATGAAGCATGGTTTTCCAATTCAGTTTGGAAACAAAAATTTGAAACATAAACAGTTGCTTTATGTGTAATGGAATGTCTTCAGGAAAACTGAAGGACTTTCCCATCCATAAGTGCAAAAACATCCCAAACTCATTCAGATTTGACACATTGTCTGTATTTATTAATATTCAAGGTCTTACAGGAAGAGGAACCTCCTTCAGGTTTTCTATTACACTTGCCTGGTTTCATCGGTAACTTATAAAATTGTAAAATAATTTATTAATTAAAAAAAGCTCAAGGGGCATAAATACTGAGCAACTGTAGAAAGAAGCAATAAAGACAAAAAGTATAATTTAAAAGATCATCATTTATTCCTTTGGATTGTGTTGTACTAGATTTGTAATTGGAGAACAAAGCAACAAATTCATTAACAACCTCCGAAATGCTTTGACCGCAAAATTTAAACATTTTTATAGATCAGCAGTCCAGGTTTTAAGAATTTTGTCATCATTCAATAACAATAATTTAAACACACGTAGACAAAACCATCTACACTTATGACAGAAGAGTTTTAATTGACTAAAATGGAAAGAAATCATCTCTATAGTAAAAATAAAATAAATTATCTCTGATATAATTTGGACATTTGTCCTGAAATAAAGCTCTGTAACTGGCCAGCAGAATTTAAGTTAAATAAGAAAATAAATACATAATTTAAGTAAAATAATCTTTATGGTATAGATTGTCTCTCATGTATATATATATATTTATATATGTTTAATTTTTCTCAACATACTTCATATTTTCTGTATTTAACCTACACAATTACAAAACAGGAACATTCAGCAAAGATTTCACAATAGTCACCATTCATGAATGCATCTAAATGATCTAAACCTGGACAATTAATTTTCATGTCAAAGAAACGTCCAGTAGGTTGCTCTTTTAATCCCTTTCAAAAACCAGGAAAATACATGAAAAGATTAATTTAATCTCAAATTTATCAGAGGACAATTACCCATATTTTTTCTTGCACTAACATTTAATATCGATGTCAAAAATTCATACTGTCTTTACCACGTTTTTCTAAGAATTTTCACAGTCACAGATATGACAAAGAGGAGTCAAAAACAGCACTTTACGGCACAAAACAACAGTACCGGAATGTACAGTATGTCCAGCAGCAAACCATGCAAGTATCGCCCCAGTCCCATTCACGGCCCCTGTAACTCATACACACACACATCCGTCATCCAAAGTCCACACTCGCACACTTTCAGAAAAACACATACACAAACAACTAACTACAGACATACACACAAATTACGGCCACGGCACAAACCTACTCTAACAGCCCCAAAGTTACACGTCTAAAACGGTGCATCAGAGATCACACAGTAACTATAAAACACCACGACTGAGACTATGGTTGTCATCATCTTATTAATAGGATCAAAGGGGGAAAGATCTGTGCAAGAAAGAAAAAAGCTTTAACTATATATATTCAAAAAGTTTTCATATTTTCAAAAATTAAAACATTCAGTAAAGAAAGTTTATTTACTCTACTGTACTCCCACTGTCATATTAATCTACAGAAAAGCATTTTATCTTTGCTAGATGGGACTTAAAGGTACATAAGAATCTCTCTGGCAGGTCAATCCAGCAAATTTCCTGCCCACTTTCATAAAATTATTCCAGATTGAGCTTCAGAGTTTGAGCAAAAACATTATTTAAATATTTCTTATTTTAAGATAGACTTAAAATCCAAATAAAACAATGCTATTTTGTTATCGTAAAAAAGCTTTTAAACAAATTCTATGACGTTCAGGGGTGTGTGTGTGTGTGTGTGTGTGTGTGTGTGGTGTGCATAAATGCGACACACTGGATCAGCTCAGATATTGCTGCAGTTTTCACCTCTGTAGTTCAGGCCTGTTCAGTCGTTACTCAATCAGTTAGTATGCTGTGACACCCAACACCTCGGTAAACACCGGCAGCATCCTGCTATTGACTGTACAGCGATCTATTTAAGGGCGCTCACGCTCTTACTCTTTAGACTTGAATGTGCTGTGCGTCTGAGAGCTTCCTGAATCACTGCCTACTATCTACTTTCTCTGATTTTAATGCATCCAGGAAGAATGCATCTCTTCTAAAAGAATCATTTGAAGTGCTCCCTGCATATTTTATGACTGACAAGTCAAAGTATGGACCACAAGGCAAGTGTGATAGAAATTGTGTGTTTCTCTATGCAAAAATAAGTGACACTAGTCAATAGGATGTCACGTTGAACTTTTAACATGTTGGACGTTGAATTGTGATTTCATAAGCATGAGGCCGGACACAATTGATTTTTAATCAAAGGGGGTAACAAGTTTCAAAAATGCTTTAATGCGTGTTGAGGATTGTGTGATTTTGTGGGTGTGTGTAGAAAACTGTTAAAAAACGGTCAATCTTCAGAGTAGTGCACAGAATCCTCAGGGATCTGATGTGCTGCTCTTGATGCAGGAAGCAATCAAGAGCAATAAAGCTCAGGTCTCAGAGGAACCATATCAAATGTCTTTGTTGAATATTTTACCATTTTAGCAAGCCAGGTCATGCAGTTTTAGCAGCTTTCAGACAGTGGTACTTTGGAAGATGTACGCTGGCAATGAGATTACAGTCTTGCAAAAGTATTGATATCCCTTTAACTATTCCACATTTAGTTTTAAACACAAATTTAAGGAATTTTATTGGGACCTTTCATGATACACAAAGAGAAGCTGGGAGGGAAATTATAGCCTCAGAGGTTCACTAGAGAAAGTTGATGGAACATCATAAAGACCTGAACATCATAGACAGGTCAGAGATAAGGTTATGGTGAAGTTTTGGTAATTTCAAAAAGTACTGTTTAAAACATGTACAACAAAGAATAGCAAAAGTGTACTTCAACCAAGTTGAAGCAATCCACCGAGAAACAGATCTGATATGGAGGACATTAATCAGAGATGCAGCCAAGAGGCCTATGGTAACGGTGGACGAGCTACAGAGATCCACCGTTCAGATGGGCAAATCTGTTGACAGAAAAACTATTAGAAGTGGACTCCACATATCTGGACCAAGTCAAAAAGCAGTAAGAAAATAAATAAATAAATACATTATTGAAAGAAGACCAAAGACATAGCTAGTTTGCCAAAATTAATGTCTGGAACACAGAAAACGTGTCAAAAGTTTGGTAAAATTAGAACCAAGTTCCAACTTGAAACTGAGGCAGAGGCTCACCTTCCAGCATTTCAAGCCACGCTGGATTAAGATTAAGGCATCGCCTAAACCTCCAGTTTTGTTAAAAGACAGATGTGATGAGGCAAGTGAGGCAGTCACAGACTTGTATTAACCGACTTGCATAGGGACAAGCCAGGTTCACAGGTCAATGGAGTGATGCAGCGATGACGTATAGTTGATGCAACCAGCCAGAAGCAGGAATTACAATCTTAAACCCGACTCAGAAATCATTTCATAACGCGGTGTGATATAAGATTCATATTTGGATCATTTCCCCGGCTATCAACAGAAACTATAAAAAAAAATTCCACCACTACTGTTGCAGGTGTAGTTACATGGAAAAATGGTTTGTGAAAAATAAAGTATTGGGGAATGGTAATAAAAAACGTTATTTGTAAAAATAACATAAAATAAATAATGTGATAAAATGTGTAAAAGTTCAGGGAGTACAAATACTTTTATAATGCACTGCCAACAAGTTAAGATTTGCTTCAGGACTCAACGTCAAATTATTACATAATAATTAAATGACTTTTTATCTATTTCTGTTGCTGATTTGAATTATTTTGACCCAACGACACAGCAGATCAACTATTGTTGTGAAAAGTGATGATGGAGTGTGCGTCACTTTATAACTGTGAATCTGTGAGAAAATCTAAATGCAAGTTGTCAGTCAGTTCCCTGTACTGTCCACACCTGAGAACGGACAAAGGTAGAGAAAACACCAGACAGAGTGAAAGATATACAAAAAAAAACACACAAAAAAAACAACAATATGTCAAGCACACAACTCAATGGCAAGAAGAAACATTTTAACCAACCAGATGACTATTTCTGAAAAGGATGGCATTATAAACTGTATATTTTCCTCACAGAAAACATACAGAGCAGTGACTGTATGAAATAAAGACACAACAGTTGGTTACATAACCTGTAAAAACAGCTGGGCTTTTGTTGCATCACATTCCTGAACACTCCTTGTTTTTGTCTGTTGCCCCGGGACCAGAAGGCTGACTGGGGCTGCTCTCTGCTGGATGTTCCGTTTGCTTGCTGGCTGCAGCGGTGTTATCAGTGACACTGAGCTCCCTCATCCTTACCTCTGTAAGGGCGCTGAGGCGGCTGATAGGGGGGCTGCCAGGGGGACTGCCTGGACGGCTGCCAGATTGGCTGCCAGGTTGGCTGCCAGTTTGGCTGCCAGGGGGGCTGCCAGGTTGGCTGCCAGGGGGGCTGCCAGGTTGGCTGCCAGGTTGGCTGCCAGGTTGGCTGCCAGGGGGGCTGCCAGGGGGTCTGGCAGGGCGGCTGCCATCAATATTCCCAGAACGACTGCCGCTAGGGGTGCGGCTGCGGCTTTGGCTTTCCCTGCGGCTGTGGCTGAGACTGCGGCTGCGGCTGAGACTGCTGCTGCGGCGTTTGCGTAGAAAACTTGGACTGCGGTACAACAACTTCATGACAACAGTGCTGTCATTGTCTGAGCTGAAGTCAGAGCTGTCTGAAGAGCTGTCTGTATCGTCCACAGTGGGGAGCTGGATCTGAGAATTGACGGGAAAATGTTGAAAAAGCTGCAAAATGCCAGTAAACTGTGTTGATGATGATAAAAGCTTTTTATTAGCCCCAAAATAAAAGCAGTGCATTATGTTTACCTGAAATGGCTCTGTTATACCCACAATGGTGCTCATGTTGTTGCTATAGTATCCCAAGATAAAATCCCCTGAGATTTTGGGTAATTCCTCCTCTGTAAAGTTTATCTGGAGAAAAGATATTCAAATAGTTATCGAATGCGACAGAAATATTCTCCAAGAGGAGAATCCAACGTGTCTCTAAATTACCTGATGTTCCTGGCAGTAAAAATTTGCCTCGTCATGCCGAGCCCACATGTATCCCACATAATCTTTAAAGTGCTTGAAACCCACCTGTTGGTGCAGTAACAAGATCACATCGTGTAATTATTTCACTCCAAATTCTTGAAATTATGTCTGCAGGTCGACTCTAACGAGGAGGCAGCAGTAGGACAAGTTACCTTGTACAATCCAATCCAGTCCCAAGAGCTTCGAGAGTAGTTGGGCATCAGCTTGAATGTCACCTTTGCATCTTCTACATTCTTCCACTCATCCTCCACTGAGAGATTGACCAGAGGAATGTCCACCCTGTATGGAAACTGAAAAGATTGAGCGTAAGTCTCTTGATATTTAAGAGCTCTGGCTTTGGGCCCCAACGTGGGTCACAAAATACTATATGGGGCTTTGAGATGGGCTCCACAGATTAAAATAGGAGGAAAATATATAAAAAATGAACTGCTAAAATTATATGCCTTAATTGATGTGAGAGACAGAAATACTCCAGCAGCTGAGACAAATTAGGACAGTGACCTTTTTATTTTTCTTCTCAGTAACTTTACAGTTCCAGTCTTACTAAACCTTCTTCTGGGATGTTTTGATGGTACAAAGACATTCAGTAATGAACAATTAATAAATTAAAGGCTTGTATTTACTAATACATCTACGTATCATGTGTGCTGATGTTTCATTTTCAAAATGTCTGTAATGGTGTACTTGTTATCAGCTTCTCGAGAAACCCTAATTTATGTTGACCCTAATCTATGTTGACCCGTTTTTCAGTGCTTGAAGTTTGTCAGTTCATTGTTGTTGTTTTTTTTTTTTTATTAAGTATTTAAGTATAAACCACAGTAATTTGATGGGATTAAGATTTTGGGAGGTTTTCTATATGGCCATGGTCCCAAAAATAATTGTCTTGCTCCTTAAGCTGCTTTGTCACCCCTTCCGCATCACAATGTGAAGAAAGCAAGCAGTTAAGTCATGTAAGACATTGTTTGACTAAAGTAAAAATTATGATCAAAACGTTCAACTATAAGATCCCAGTGCCATCAATGAGAGAATTGGCTTCTTTAGTGCCCTTCTTGACACCAGTGTCCAAATGGACACTCACTCCTGTCCGCTGCTGTTCCTGAACAAGCTCTGCCTCAACCCAGCTGAACCCTATTAAGCAGACAATCCCTGCACTTGTAAGACTTTCTTGGACATCCTGAGGATTTCTAAATAACAAAGGAACTGCTCTACTTAAATTTCTTGATGAACGTGAGACGTATTAATACAAACAGAAGATAATAGCATGCATTTCCTTGGAGGTAACCACAATTTAGAAAAGAAGAACAATTTTAATTGCACCCCTCTTTTAAAAGAAGCATTCCTACTCTTCAAATTCAAATACATTTAACAACCTCTTGACGTTTTCTCTGGAACCAAGGGAAGCACCCTAGACTCAATGCAAACAACCACAAAAAAAACAAAGCAGTTAAGTGTGCAAAACATATTTCTGTCAATCTAAACTTTTACCCATGACTAATTGTAAATACATAAAGGTAGGACAAAAGTTGCTAAAGTTGTTGGGTTGTCAGCGTTTTCATGCTGAAGTGACAAATTAGCAACATTTGTATTCTTTAGCTATGTTAAGGTCACAAGCCTTGGCTGCCATTTTTTGTATGAAAGGTCTTTTAAATCTTGGTTACCAATTATGCAGGAAGTAATCTGAATATAAACCCTCAATATTAAGATTATAGGTAAAAAGAGTATGCACATACGCATTGATTTGAAGACTGTTTATTTACTGGGTGAAAAGTTTGAGACTAGATAACCTTCTTTAAATGAACTTGTTAGAAGTTGTATTACAATGTTTCAAAAATCCTAATGGTAACAGCATCTTTATAAAGTCTCACCTCCAGGGTAAAGATCGACGAAACCGGCTTGTGGTCGCTGACTAAGTACTCCATGTGGCTCCGGTAACAGTGCTGCGTCACTCTGATCCCGCTGGTCAACCCTGTCATCGAAACTCGCCTCCCTTCTTTCTGAGCAGCTGGTGCCGTGGCCCTCAGGCGCCACAAGATGCGGTCGGTCCAAGCTGGTTTACGCTTCTTCCCACTGGAATAATTTTGAGACAAAATAGAACAAGACTGAGAAACTGCTTTTTAAAACAAAGAATGTGGGAGAAAAAGAAAATGCATCTTCACTACCTCTTCAGGGTAGTGAGGATCTTTCAGACATCAGAGTGTAATAACTGTTTCTTTGCTTGGCTCTGATCTCTGATCAGTGGCCTAGAAACTGAAGTACGCCCCCTGGCCTCACCTACCTTGTATCATATGTGTTTGTTCCAACGTCAAACTTGTAGGTGGGAGGAAATCTCAGCGGCCCCTCCTGGAATCCCTCCAGCAGTGGCTCTTTGTCTTTGGTCATGTTTAGCTGCAGAAAATTACAATAAATAAACCGCACACCTTCCCACAAATTCATAACAGCTTACAGAATTGTGGGTGTCTCTATTTCCCTCTAGTGGCAGAATGAAGAAATTGAAAATAAATAAAGCATCATGAGGTCATGCTTCATTTTAATTTAAAAGCCATAATGAAAATTGACACAATTTTTGGGTTTATATAGATTTTTTGCTTTCTAAAAACGCAAATGAAAGCAAACAGAAACCACATGTTGTATTAAGTACTTTTAATGAGCAGCAGTTGAATAATTTTACAGTCCTCTAGTATAACACACAAACCCCTCTTTTTTTTACCTGATCCCTCTCCCACAATATGGAGTATCTGTTGTTCTCGATCGCTGATTTCACAGCTTGGATATCCAGATTTCCAATGCGGAAATTAAGATCCCCAAACCAGAACACAAGACTGAAAGTAAAGAAAATATTTCATGAGAATGTATCATTGTAAAAACTGAAACACAGTAAAGGATTTCTGTTTATGGATGTTGACACCAGACACATGCATGTGCACCTCAGTAATTTACAATAAGACTGTTTATTTTGGTCATTTAATTCAAAATGTGAAATATATTTATATATCAATACAAAACAGAGTAGCATCTGTCTAAGCCATTGATTTATGTTTATTTTAATACATCCAAAATGCATCTTCTAAAAAAACGTGAATATTTAATGCAAAAAAAACCCCAAACATAAATTAACCTCTAAAGTGACTCAGAAAATATAGTGTGCAGTCTGGATATATAAGTCAAAGTAAAACACATCTGTTTTTTTTATATCAATTTAGATTTGATCATTTTGATAACAAATTAAGAAATACAGTTTGGAAAGTCAGAATACTATTATACTAAATGTCTTTCTTTTCTATATTTTTCGCCAGTAAATGAAATAATAAAAAATAAATTACTGTTACTATGGATCTTCTTCAGAACATCCTAATATTGTTTGAGCTTCAACAGTGAGCCACTGGCGCCTTCATTCGTTTGTCATCTTGTTCGGTAATGAAAAGGAAATTAGCACCCGCCACTGGCCAAATGCGGGTAAAATTGGAGCAACGCACCCGCCACTGTTGCGGGTTGACAATTGATAATATTAAATCTAATTTTTGTCGACCACGACAGCCCATTGGTTGATTTTATTGACGGACATTGGGCTTATCCAATCAAATCCCTCAGTCATTGAGGCCCGTCCCTCCCCCTCTACGTTTATAAATGGCGCCATTTCAGCTAACGGTTAGCTGCTAACCGCAGTCCGAGAAAACGAGCGAACACTAGACGGGGCGGGTCCGAAAAACAACCACAAAAGCTAAACACCGCATAAGTCCATTCAGAAAAATGCGCCAAACTAACCGATATATTAATTACCACACTAACTTTGACCGTTGGAGGAGATTCAGTAGCGGACAAGGAGAGGGAATTAGCGATTCAGGGGCTTTACTGCTGCTGCTGCCTGGGAAGAATGAGTGAAAATGTTCATCAAGAAAAAGTTTCATGTGGCAGTAAAGCAGCTGTGTGTGAGGGGGAAGCTAACACTGAGCTCCAGGTAGTCAAAAAAACTGGAGTAACACAAGAGTGATGATGATGATGAGCCGTGGAATTAATAATGAACACGTTCTGAGATATTTTAGTAATGTATTGTTAATTTCAAAAGAAAACGTAGTAAGTAAGGGAAAACAAAACAGTTAGAAAACAGCTATTGATACAATTTAAAAATATTTTTAAAATGACTAGACATCTTTTATAAATACTATCAGGGAGAATTGTTGCCAAAATTTGGAAATGTTCAACGTAATTGCAAGAATGTTAGGGTTGAGTAGTTAAAGTTTAGTAATTACTTCAAGTTAACTTATTGCACTACAGCCCTGTTACGGCGTCCATGCTTTATGTTAAATTATTCTGTGTGTGTATATATATATATATATATATATATATATATATATATATATAATATATATATATATATATATATATATATATATATATATATATATATATATATATATATATATATATATATTATATATAGTTAGCTGACTGGATAGCTCAATACATAAGGCATCAGTATATCACCCGAGAGGGCAGGGTTCGAATCCCAGTCTGGGTCCTTAGGCAAGACCCTTCAAGCTACTGCCTACCTCATACCATGAGAGATACTAAGTTGCATAACATGCCGGCTCAGACGTCGCCCGGCCAAACAAGATCTGCGTCAGGTGTTGGGGAACCAGAGCACCTTGATGACAAATGGGCTACTGGAACAAGACGGAAATGGGCGAGAGATGAAAATGTGGATCTGTTGGAATGCTACTACTCAAGTAACCCTAGTGAGAGAGGTTACATGCAAAGACTGGGGAAGGAATGGTTACTTCGACATCCCCATTCAACACTAAGCGCTAAACAACTAGTAGCTCAGTGTTCCAACATCCGCAAACGGCAACTGCTATCACAACTTGAGATTGACGAGATACAACACAAATGCTACGGCAAAAGGGAGGAACCCGGATGTCAGGACTGTGGGGACTTAACTACAAGTCCCCACCCAGTGAGGGGATACACGGCCCCAATGAGCGAACGAGACAGCTGCTGACCTGAGAGAGAGAATCATGACCCGAATGACAACGGCTGAGTGAAGTACCATCAGAAAGTCTCATGAGAATGTGAATGCAGCATTGAGAACGATCCCTACCAACACCATAACAGAAACCAATGAGCTGATCTACAACTCAGCATCAGTGATCCTTGAGATACTTGGCTATAAGAGCAACCATGAGACCCAATACCCACCATGGAAAAGACGGTTAGAGGCTAAAATCAAGGTAACAAGGAGGGAAGTGAGCCAACTGTCAGAGCTCCACAAGGGTACAATGAAAAGACCAGTACCCAGAAAGTACAGGCAGATGCCCATACCTGAAGCACTTGAAACTGCCAAACAGAGGCCAGCCGCCTAAAGAGATACACAAGGGAGAATGAATCCAGAAGGATTAACCAGCTAACCAGCTAAGGTGTACTCTCAATGGCAGGGTAATAACAACAGGGCTGGAGACTGAACAATACTGGAAAGGCATATGGGAAAGGGATCCAGAAGGATCCATCAAAGGGACCCAACTACCGACCAATAACCTGCCTCTCCACAACCTGGAAGCTCATGTCAGGCATCATAGCGGCCAAGATAAGCAAACACATGGATAAACACATGAGCACGGCACAGAAGGGTATCGGGTGTAAATACCAGAGGAGCCAAACACCAACTCCTCGTAGACCGCACAGTTGCCCGAGACTGCAAAACCCGACACACCAACCTGTGCATGGCTTGGATCGATTACAAGAAAGCCTATGACTCAATGCCGCATACTTGGATCATTGAATGCCTAGAGATGTATAACATCAACAGGATTCTGAGAGCCTTCATTGCAAACTCGATGAGGCTGTGGAAAACCACCCTTGAAGCCAACTGCAAACCACTTGCACAAGTGTCCATCAAATGTGGCATATACCAAGGAGATGCCCTGTCCCCGCTACTGTTCTGCATAGGCCTGAACCCCTCAGCCAAATTATCAACAAAGACTGGCTACGGATACCGACTCAAAAATGGGGCCAACATCAGTCTCCTCTACATGGATGACATCAAGCTGTATGCCAAGAGTGGAGCGAGACATCGACTCACTGATCCACACCACCAGGATCTACAGCACTGACATTGGAATGTCATTCGGACTAGAGAAATGTGGTCGGCTGATCACAAAGAGGGGGAAGGTGATCCACACAGAAGGAGTCTCACTCCCACAAGGAAACAATAGCAGACATAGAGGACAGTTACAAGTACCTAGGTATACCACAAGCAAATGGCAACCTCGATGATGCCACAAGGAAAGGAGCCACAGCTAAAATACCTCCAACGAATAAGGCAAGTCATGAGAAGCCAGCTCAATGGAAAGAACAAAATCCGTGCGATAAACAGCTATGCCCTGCCAGTAATCAGATACCCTGCTGGAATAATCAGCTGGCCAAAGGAGGAGATGAAAGCCACAGATATTAAGACTAGAAAGCTACTAACCATGCATGGAGGGTTCCATCCCAAATCCAGCACCCTGAGACTGTACACGAGCCGCAAGGACGGAGGCAGAGGACTAGTGAGTGTGAGAACCACTGTCCAGGACGAAACAACTAAGATCCATAAATACATCAGGGACAAAGCCTCAACAGACATGTGCTCAGTGAATGTCTCAGACAACAGGGAACGGGGTTGAGGTGCCAGAGATACCATCATGGGAGGACAAGCCCCTACATGGGATGTACCACCAGCAAATAACCAAGTGGCTGATATCAGTAAATCCTACCAATGGCTGGAAAAAGCTGGACTCAAAGGACAGCCACAGAGGCCCTCATCCTGGCCGCCAGGAAACAGGCCCTAAACACCAGAGCAATAGAGGCCCAGATCTACCACACCAGACAAGACCCAGGTGTAGGTTGTGCAAGGAGGCCCCTGAGACAGTCCAGCACATCACAGCAGGGTGCAAGATACTGGCAGGGAAAGCGTACATGGAGCGACATAACCAAGTGGCAGGCATAGTGTACAGAAACATCTGTGCAGAATATGGACTGGAAACCCCGAGATCAAAGTGGGAAAACCCCCAAAGGTGGTGGAGAACGCCAGAGCTAAGATCCTGTGGGACTTCCAGATCCAGACAGACAAAATGGTAATGGCGAACCAACCAGACATTGTCGTAGTGGATAAACATCAGAGGAAAGCCGTTGTGGTAGATGTAGCAATACCAAGTGATTGCAACATCAGGAAAAAGGAGCACAAGAAACTGGAGAAATACCAGGGCCTCAGGGAAGAACTGGAGAGGGCCTGGAAGGTGAAGACCACAGTGGTGCCTGTGGTCATCGGGGCCCTCGGGGCAGTAACCCCCAAACTGGAGCAGTGGCTACAACAGATCCCAGGAACAACATCAGACATCTCAGTCCAGAAATGTGCAGTCCTTGGCACAGCCAAGATACTGCGCAGAACCCTCAAGCTCCCAGGCCTCTGGTAGAGGACCCAGAGGATAAGAACCACCCGCGGTGGGTGAGAAGGGAATTTTATATATATATATATATATATATATATATATATATATATATATATATATATATATATATATGCATCTGTATTGTAAACGTATAGTCAGTCAATTGGTTTTTATAGAGTTAAGAATAAATCGTACATTTTCTATAATTTGCTTGTAATTTATAATCAAAAGAAAAGAAAAAACACTGGCTGGTGAAATGTCTGCATGGGGAGTAAAAGAAATGTCTCTATCCACTGTAGCTGATGGAGAAAATCTTTTATTTCCACCCGTTTCATCTGATGTTTCCAAAGCTTACAAAAACCAATCTGAATCATAAGTAATAGATGTGTGAACCCGTGGTGGTATGTGCAGAGACTTACTCATGATCCAGAACACCAGTGGCCCCCTGGCTGTCAAACTGCTGTTGCTGCAAGATGCTCTCGAAGTCCTCTATACGCTCTTCTTGGTTTTCCATGTGAGCAGGAAGGTGGCAATTAAGGAAGCAGATGCTGTGGCCAAACACGGTCATTCGGGCGCTAATGCCGCCTTTATTCCCCTGCAGAATGGGCATAGCAGATGTTTTTAACTGAGGGTTTCTTAAAAAGCAACATACAAAGGAAAAAGTATCAGCAGTCATCAATTTGACATGTTCTTGGATAAAAATGTGATAATTACTGAATATATGATTCATCATGATCAGTAATTACAATAAACTTCGATGTGTGTCGACTGTACAGGTATGCTTCACAGCGAAACAGGAAGTGCCCTCATTATAGAGCAGACAGCATCAATATTTGATGCTGAGTGTTAAGTGCACACCAGGGGGAGAAAATGAGTCAGTGGTTTCTCTGCTACTACTCCTGTGACTCATTAAACTATGCTCCAGAAGAAAATTTGCATATCTTGGCAAGCATGGCAAAAATTGATCTAAAGGTTCATAATAATGAAATTCAATGGTTCTTAAGCTGTGGTACCTGCTGATACTTGGGTTGATTTTAGTGACAATACAAGACAAGAAAACTGTTTTTGGGGGATTTTATTTATATAAACATCAAAGAATCAAGTTCACTGACAAATATTGAAAAGTACTGAGTGTGTGTATGTGTGTGTCTTAATGAAATATACCCAAAAATAAATGTTATTTTAGGAGCTATAACAATGGTATGCATCAGTCTGATTGGATTTTAAGATCAGGATTCAGAACTAATGAGACACACTGACACTGTTGATTCTAACTGACTTTCCATGCATTGAGAGAGCCTGTTTGTTAGATTACAACATATATCATTTTAGCATTATAACTAAAAGACACAGCATTTGACTATAAAAACTGATAGGACACACTTTTCCTGCTTATGTCTATACATGCATCAATAACTGGAATGCATGCCTTCAGCCGCAGTGGGTGCGGTTTCTCTAACCCTTTGCAGCCATCTTACCCAATAACCCCCCAGTCCTGTGCGGGTGGTCTCTGTCTGGACTCCACGGAGGAAAGGCAGATGGAAGTATTTCGCAAAGACCAGCAGTATCAGGCCCTGCATTCGCTGGGATGTTACCTGAGGTACAGAAATGTAAAGCTGGATAAGGCTAGGAGCATAAAAAGGCAGGAGAGATATGATGAGCAACTTTGCATGAGTCGCACAAAAGCACAACTGTACAAATGCAAAACATCATGACCCTTCGTCAAAGTGCCTGCGGCCTTGCTGTGCAGCTCCTGAACACAATGCAGTGTACATAGAGGATGGAACAGCATCTAGTTCATCCAAATGTTGAAAGAAAGGTAACATTAGCACTCTATCCTCCAACCCTCCAGTCTCGTGTTGTGCTACATTACGATATGCAGATTATGACATTTGTGTTCCTCTGACATTAAACAACACTGCAGGTATTGTTGCAGTGTTCAACACACCAAAACGTCAAGTGCAGGAACTAAAATTTGCATGATATGTCAAACCTGTTCCCAGATATGTACACATGTTCCCCTCTCACTCACCCTCTATCAAGTCGTCCACAGACCCCAACCCCCAACCACAGTCTGAAGAAGCACAATCACACCCGGACTGAAACCCCTCACAGGCAAACATCCCCACGTGACTAGCCTCTCTTTTCCTGCATACTAACAGCCTATTTGAACAACTTTGTTGCGTAAGAGGTTCAGCGCAACTATAAAGCCATCCAACATAATGCTGCCTGCCTATGCTGTGACTGAAAAGAATCTCTGATCAATTTCTGTCCCACTCGTTTTGCTCAGAACAGATAAGTTATTTAGACCCAGAGACAAGTGACCGAGCCAGATGTGTACATTTGACTTTATGCAACAATATCCAAGCCAAAGGAAATGAACTGTGAGTAACAAATAGTGACGTCAGCAGGGAAACTTGTTAATTTGAAATAACAGTTTCTTCATCCCGGCCTTCAATACAAATGACAACAGAAACATCACAATCCTCCTCCACACTTCAATGTATTTTGTTGTAAATTCCTGTTATGCAACGCATGCTTTAAAAAAAAGTCCTGTGTTTCAAAACTCCTGACCTACTGTCTAAATATTCACCAGAAACAGACACACAGAGATGAATTTGAAGAGGTTCAAACCAACCTAGTAGGCCATGTAATAGCTGGGGGACAGCATCAATTTCACTGTCAGAGGTCCGTCCACACCGACAACATGATCCAAAATTAAAACGGCACCCTGGGAGACATTTGTCCAACACTTTTTTGCTTGTCAGCTCATCCACACGCACTCTGGCTCAACTGTGCCATGCTTTGTTCCAGAAGCAGCCAGCGAAACACCTACCAATGTGTGCTTCGATATGAAAACTGCAAACACAACAAGAGAATTTACTGCTTTTCCTTTGTAAATGTCTGATGTAGATTTTTTTGGAAGCAAGTGTACTAATCTGATTATTACCACAATTTCTTGGTATGTGAGCCCTTTAAGGCATAAATTATAGAGCTACAAAGTTACAGTAAGGAACACTGAGTGAGAGCTCGGCAGACAGCAGAGGATAATAGATCCACTGACATAGATACCTGTTTTAAATCATCACCCCATCCGTTGCTGAGGGAACAAAATAAGCCTGAACAGCAAGAAGCTGATCAATGATAATCCAACATGCACAAAGATGAGCCGTTTAGCATTTTATTCTCAGAGTGAGCATTATTATTTACAACAAAACCAAAACATTACTGACCAGCACATAACCAAAGGGGCCCAGTCTCTCCATGCAGACCTCGCTCCACTGATCTGTGAAGAGGACGTCTTTCAGCCTTTTGTTAATCATGGAGTTCACCTCCTGCAGCCTTAGAAAGAAAAATTACAAAAAATAAACCCCAGAGAACTTCCAGTTGGACACATTTAATCTCAACCCGACACTTTATTACCAGCACCGTCAACACTGTGACTACAGTGCTCTGAGAAAACATTTTCCCCCTTTGCAGACTGCTTACACTTTGTTTTTTGTTACACTGAAATGTTTCAGAGCAATAAATTTAAGTCAATGCAATACGCAGTTTTAAGATGATAATTTAATTACTTAAGGGGAAAAGAGCTACTTTAAATACCAGCCTGGTCCCATGTGGAAACATTACCAACACTGCTGTTAAATTGAGAAATAACAGCAGTGATTAATCACATTTATTTGGTTTGGTTTGAATGGGCTGTCCATTAGAATCAAGAAATCACTGAAACTGAACCTCATTGACAACAAGAAATAGGCAGAAATGTCTCAAAGGCAACACATTTTCCATGAACCATTCCCCCACGTGATCTAAAAGTGATGCCTGTTATCAAAAGCTGTCACTGCCAACCAGTTATTAGGTCCTGAAAGCCACTACTTTACCACAGAGCCAGGTTTGCTTGGAGAGCTATTCTCTAAATAAAAGGAAACCATCATTTAAAAACTACATATTGTATTCATTCAGGCTATCTTGGTCTCGTATTGAATTTTGTCAATACGAGACAAAATTGACAAAATTTTGTCAAGCTGTTTTTTTAATGTAAAACATAAAAAAACAGCTAGGCAGGAGAAATCCAAAGGAGGCAAATACTTTTTCTTCAGCATAACATGCAGGACAAGCCATCATAAAGTGACCAGTGAGGAATCCACTGATGTGTCCTCCAGAGGACACTCACCCTATGATGTACATGTCTGTTTTTCCGTCTCCCACGTTCAGTCCAAGCAGAGTGGTGATGTCATCAGGTGGCGTGGCGGAACCCACATTCCAGGTGATGATGTGAATCCTGTCAGGAAAGGGTGTTATGTAAGCTCCCACTGCCACTCATCTCCTTCAGACCTGAGTCACAGCTCACAGAATGAATGAGACAGCAACCTCTGCACCAACATCTCATTGTGTCTTGGCTTTCCCTTCCTTTACTTTCATGCCATACATAGCAGGAGACATTTACATGTATTCTTTTTCAGTCTAGTGTTTGAATTTTGATCAGTTTTTGTACATTGCATTACTGGGTGGTCAGTTTGGCCCATCAGGCAACAAGATTCAGAAGATCTTATACTGTCTGACGATCAAGATTTCAGACCCTGATATGAACTATGTTTGTTGAACTATCTCTGTTTTTGTTGAAACCAGGAAGTCTGTGGGCAGACGACAGCAAGGCACTGCAAAAGCAGAAATTTCTTTGCCACAGACAAGATTTATCTCCATGAGCAGAGAAATGTTGTTGTGCACATGAGCAATCTAAAAACCTTGCTGGAAGAATTATCAAACATAACGCTACTTTTAAGCCTTAATCCTCTCCGCACATTAAATCATGTGAAAAGATGGATGATGTGCTAAAGCTGAACCATTATAATGTCCCATCAGTGCAGAAGTAATTTTTTAAAATTAATATCATGTCTAACAACCCTTTTACTTCAATCAGAGGAACTCAGTGAACCTAGAGGAATCCTTCAGTAGGTGGAGACATTGTGGCCAAAAAGGAATAGATGCACTCGGTAACAACATCAGCTGGGCTGGTACTAAGGGGTTCAGAGCGTGTCAAGAAAATGTCATGTGATTGGCTGATTTATTATTTGTGTTGACAGAGCAGTCGGTAAGTTTAGACTGTCTTAATTTGTGAAAAGAAAATATTCTTTATTTAAAAAGCATATAAATTAGCCTATAATGTAAAAATAAATATTGAGTAGGCTATTACTAAATGCTAATGTGATACAGCATAGCTGGCTAAGCCTCAGTGTATAAAAATAACTGGTATGTGTACTGAGGCAACTGTCTCAGCTGTCTGTGAATGGGAGGCCACATAAAGCATTCAGGGACACGAATGTCGAGACAAACAAAGAGACAGAGGAACCAACCTGAACTCATTCTGCACCTGAGGCAGAGTGTCAGCGGTGCCCGCCAAGGACAGAGCTCTCTGCGCGTGCGGGTTCAGGTGAGAGGGCATAGGTGGTTGGGGCATGGATGCAGCTCTGACCGGGTGGTGACCTGGACCTTTGGGACCTGCCTTGACACTCGGCCCGGTGTGCTCTTTGGTCTGGGGAGAGGTTTTGGGCTGGCTTACCACACTGCCATCAGGAGTGGTCTCATTCTGGTTAGTTTGCGGAGCGGGTTCGGTTTTGGGTTCAGTTTTGGGCTCAACACTGGGTTCGGTGTTGTTTTCCACTCTGGGTTCTGAAATATCTACAGATCCTTCAATCCTGGAACTTCTCTGGGGCCGTGGAGGCCTGGAGGGAACCGGAGGCTGACTGGTGGTGGGATCGTTGGCTCCATCTGAGGCTGCAGCTTGAGCTGGGGTTGAAGCCTCTGCTCTGCTTCGTGGCCCCTCTTTTTGTCTCTTGCTTCGCCTCAAGTTCTGTTGGTCCATTTCTGGGAAACAAAAAGATAAATATTAAACCTGCATGATTTCTATTTTGTTTACATTTAGCAATATATTTAGGAATATACAATCAAGAAACCACACTTTCATGTATCTTATTGCGATTTCATGTCAAACTAAAAGTAGTGCCAAACCTAAAACTAAAAGATAGAGAATATATGTTTTCTATTTTTGATGAAAAACCAATTTGGTGTGCATGTGTATTAAGCACCAATATTCTGATAAGACTTGGACGCTGAAGTTCTTCATCAAATCTGATCGAGCCTGAGACGTTTTACAAAAACCCCCCCAGAAAAACAGAAAAGTTGTTCTCTAGATCTGCAAAGGTTTAAGAGACATATCTGATAAGACCTGATGCAATTATTCTTAATTCTTGATTAGTATTGACTGTGAGATGACTGAATCAAGAAAATTGAATACTAAATTGTATCTAAAAATATATTGAAAACCATTTATCTCTTTTCCTCTTCACAATTAAAATCCAAATCAGGTTTATTTGCATAGCACATTTCAGCAGCAAGGCGGTTCAAGGTGATTTACATAATAAAAACAGAAAATTACAACATCATAAAGAAAACACAACAGAGTCGACAACTGAACAAACATTACATTTGGGTTTTACGTTAAAGAAAATACATTTTGTAAGGCAATGTAAAAATGTCTGGCAATCTGACAGCTAAGTTTACAGATCATATTTTCAAAAGGCAAAAGAAATAAAGTAAACCCTGTTCCATAAACAAGTCAATTCAGTTGATGACTGTAAGACTGTCCTGATGTCCGATTGACCCGGAATTACAACAGAGTCATTCCTGAGTCAAATTATTGTCGCTGTTCAATGACCTGCCTCCTCAAGGTATCGGAAACAGCTGAACACAGCTGAGTGCATTGATTTCAAACAAATGAAAGAATAAATGTGAGAACTAACATGAGAGAAGAAAGACATGAGAAGAGACATCTCATCGTCCTAACCTGACCATAATTTACAATCGTCTCCATTCCTGCAGCAGCAAGCCAATGGTTTTCAAGCAACAGAGCTGGTGAAAATTTGCTTAAAACTAGCAGCGAAAAAACACAGCATGGTCCAAAACCTTGCAAATCAGCAGCATGGATTACAATGAAAAAAAGGGAGAGGAAGCTGCACAGACAGACAGAATGAGACTGAAGACAAAGAGGCAGAAATAAAGGAGGAATTCAGGCCAAACGATTTGGGTAACAATCCATTCAGTCGTTAATGACTAAATAAATCCCTTATTTGATTTTCTCAGCTTCCTCACATGCCAAGCAAGGGTACTGAATAAGAAGTGCTTTTACAATTTGCAGTCTAATGGGTAATACATTGATGTAATGGCAAGCCCCACTTAACCAATATTATCACAAACGATACAAATTATTAAAAAATATATATATATATATATTTTTTCATTATTCTTGTAAATGACATATTGAAAGATTTTGTAAAGCTCTGACCCCCCAATACTCATTCAGATTTATCATCAACAACTATAAAACAACAACAAAATGCACTCTTTCTGGACAAATTGACTATTTAACTGTCCACACAGTTCAATGATTTAGGAAGCCTTCATTTCTTAAGAACAATTTCTGTGGTCTTACGTAAATTATTTAGTGTGAGAGGAGCTAAATGTGAATTCAATACTTCAATTTTAAGCAACTCCAGCCTTGAATCCTCTTCCCACAATAACTATGTAAACACCAAAGAGTGCAGCAAATGGTACCTCTCCAATGTAAGTATCATACATAAGAACAGGATGTTAAATTCTTTCAACAACCAAAATATCATGTAGTTAGAACAATCCCCCGTACATGTGACGATAAAAAAGCTGATGACCCCAATCCTTCAGATAGTGATGGCTGAGACATTCATCATAAAGACAGGAACAAAAATGCCAGAGTCAGATTTTTGTTGAGAGTGAGAACCTTTCAGTAGCAAAGTGATGTTAATGGCTACCACATCCCATTCCCCACATGGCTGAAGCTGCATCTTCGCATTGTGTTTACAGTTTGGGTCAGTGGGGAGGGAGACAGAGAGAGTGCTTCCTGCTCAGGGACACAGAAACAACAGCGCTGTCGTCTGATTATTCACACGACCTTGAGCACACAGAGGCCCCCCGACTGTCATGGTGCGATGAGAACCACCTCAGTATTTCACATGTACTCAGAAACACGCTGCTTGTCCAGTCCTTGATAACCTGGAGACTGACTGGACATGGTGTACTCCTGGGGTCTATGCACTGCATTGAGTGAGGGGTTGGGTGGAGGGGGTGCGTTTGAGCGAGCAGTGTAAGTGGGCACACGTGGATGTGGGTGGGTGCAAAACGAGGTAAAGAAACGGGAGGAAGAGCAAACCAAGACAGCCCCCTTCAGTGGCAACGCTGTCTTTTTGTAGAATGTCTCTCAACTGATCCCCTCACACTTCCCTTTGGCGCTGACTGTTTATCCAGGCTTTAATCCTTCTTCTCTGGCTCTCTTATCGCCCCATTTTTCCAATCCTTTCTGTCCCCACTTCTTCTCACAGGCCCATTGTTCCATCTTACCCACCTTTATCATCACCATTCTTTAGTTTTTCTTTTCACCAGGAGATGAAAACCTGATCACAATGACTCCCATCCCCTCGCTTACTTATCCCCTCCGGACGAGCATCCATGTTCTGTGACATGCACACTGCATTGTTTTCCTTCAGCCAACCGCCCCACCATCAGTGACGTCAACCAGCCACAACCCGAACATCCGCTGTCACAACAAACGTCATCAAATAATAAAAGAGAATGAGGCAAACATCAGCTTTTCTGGGAACGATTACCACTTCCATCCCCACTCACGTTCACTGAGGCTGGAATGAAATGATTGGATAATCACAATCCTGTCACAGTGTTTACATGCTCCTTCCTTCAGGCTCGAGAGCTGAGAGCCAGGAAGCATGCAGTCAGTGCAACCCAAACAGCAGCCTCCAGCCGGCCTTCTTGGCTCCTCTGGCAGGATTAATTGACAACAAAGATAGCTTTAGATGGATGAGTCAGACAAATAGCGAGGAGCCAATTTGCTTTAGATACTGAGGGTAAAAAAACAAATCAGCTGTGTGCTTGCGCTGATTATTCTTATCTAAAATTGCTGGCTTTGCACGGCTGCATCGTGTTTATTCCCCGACAGATTCTTATCTCTTTGGCGTTTAGTGTTTAAATTAAAAGCCATGCAGCGTGCTGGTGATGAATGCCTCCAGAGTCGTACGCCCCTGTGACAAGGATACTAATGATGACCCAGGCAGCGATGAAACCAGCAGCTGCTGCCACAGCTGTAAATGGCTCCTTCCAGGTCCTAACACCAATGCACATTACACCCCCACTTTTCTAGGGGGCGCCGTTTCTCTGATCAAGTCAAAATGGATCCCGTCTTGAAAACCATGGGTCATGTGAATCTAAATATGATCCACGTGAGGGAATATGGGGGGAACGAAGGAGAACGTTGTGGAACACGGAGTCCTGTTACACCACTCATGCATACCCGTACTGGATAGTGTGTATGCTCATCGTTTCTGACATTATAATCAGAAATGACGTGTTATTTTTACACAAATATCACATTCTCAAGTTCTTCTTGATATTTAAGGGTCAACTGACAACATTGACATGAAATTTCATTTATTTTGTGAGTTAATCTTAAATCACTGCACACAACATTGCTTAATGCTATGACTGGGTCACTGCTGCAGTAACCAAGCTGCAGATGTGTTGAACTGGTGTAAACATCTGTTACATGACAGCAGTGGCTCACACAATTCTCTGGCATGCCCAGCAAATCTACAGAAGGTGATAAAATTGTTTATTCTGAGGCATTAAGGAGCATTTCCAACGACTCTTTGCTTTACTGCACGGAAGGCTTATAGCCAAGTGTAACAAGGATATTAACAACTAATTTATGCTTTACACTCAGGGCTTACAATATTGCACAAACATATTGCAATGACAACTGTCGCACTGTGAATTTGAGTCTGAAAGCACTGTTGGGCTTGATGTTGTTGCTATTTGAATGATTTCTTTCAATTGAAATTCAAACTGTGATCCGTCAATTAAAAATTGTGCGAAGCAACTGCGGCTGTGTTGAAAGCATAAAGAATTCGAAACTTCATACTTGAGTTTTCTCTAATTAGGAATATCACACATGTATGATGCAAATCATTCTGCACCGTCAATTAGTCTTGTGCTCAAAAAGAAAATTCAAAGCAAACTAATTAAACACAGTTCCCTGCATGCAAATGCCTGGCTCTCTTACTGAGAGGTCGGCTCACTGACCACAGACCCTTCCTGGAACAGCACCTTCACGGCTCACTGGCTGTTCTTCCAGCAAATGCCAAAACTTGAGCAATGACGGCTGCATGAGAACTGCATGCGCTGATGTCAACTCTGGCATTGCCACAGGTGATTTTTGCTGCAATTTTCATTTCATCTACAAACTACATGCATGGCTTAGTGCTTACATTGGTCTCGCCCTCTCACTGAATATTAAACTACATGCAATGATTTTTTGTGACAATTCATAATACAGCAGTATAGGGAGGGGGGGGGAAATGGAAAACACTGGAACACATACAATAATAATGCATGAAGTACATTGACGCTCAGAAACGGTGATCTGACGCTGTGACAGAAATGGAATGGAGCATGAGGTAATTTGGCCTAATAAACACTCAGACATCAAGGACAGCTTTTACAGCCAGAAAAGAGCATGAAGGTCATTTTAACCGGGACAGTGTTTTGCATTAAAACATGACCTCAGACATGTGGGTGCCAGAATCTGCCACAGTGTGCACGCATTTAAGATAAGGGATATAAAAGTGATTGATCAGCAGGTGGGGAGGAAGGTGAGCAGCTCTTATCTTCTTCAAACATGACTTATAAACAAGGAACAGTGTGACACAAAAACACAACACAGAGAATGAGGCAATGGCTGCTGGAAACACCAAGACTCTCCCTGAAAGGAGATATTGCAAAGCTCTATCAGTCAACCGCTGAACACCTTTACCTGTTCGGGTTCTTCTGCGCGAAGGTCCGTGGCAGTTCTGCTGGGTTCACCCTGTGTGCAGGTACGGCTCGTTCAGTCCGAGGTCTGGGTGGAGAATGTTACAAGACTCACTCCCTGTTCCAGAGAAACACGGTGAACTTTCCTGCGCTGCCACCTTCGAATCACCATCGGCATCTCTTCGCTCTCCTCCTCTCCTTCCTCCTTGTCCGTCCTCAGCCGGTGGATTGGTGGAGGGGGAGGCGCAGGCAGGTAGGTGGGCTTAAAGCGATGCTGACCACGGGTTTATCACCGGGCAGGCTCCATCTCCCAAAAAGCCGCGTGTCTAACCGAGGACACACACAGGCTTGAAACCGCAACCCGCTGTCATGCCCTTCACGCTACAAAAAAAAAAGACGCCCCCCCCTCCTCCGGACGACGTACGCCTGCAGTCACCGTGTACGAGCAGCCGCGGAGCGAAGGAGCTGCGCGGGGTTGATAATTACACAGTACATCCGTTTGGAAGGCACAACGCAGAGCTACAGCACCTAGAACAGATCTGAAGGAGCAAACTGTAGCCTCAGCGAGAGGGCCCGGCTGGCAACCAGCAACGATTCGTTCGCCGATTACCCCCCCCTTCACCGCCCCCTGGTTTCTATGGAGATAAACGAACTGTTGTCGGTTTGAACCGCAACCTGCGTCGATTCCAACGGCAGGCGCCACTCTACGTAACGTCACTCTATATCGGCACCAGAGTGCCACCTAGTGGTTAGTATTATGAACGACACAAGAGAATGTTGTGTGATCTAAAGAAAGGCTAATGTTCTATCATGCTCCAAATCTGTTAGAATTTACAAACAAATATCTATAAAAAAATATACTTTATGTGAACTACAGAGGTAGATTAAAAAAAGAGAGAATTTGATGAGCGCCGAGCATCTAATATGGATCTTCTTCATGTCATCCGTCTTTAGATATTTTTGCATTGAACCTAATATGTAGGTTCATTGTAATAGGTTAATTTACCAATCGCAGAACATCCGCTTCCGGTCACAGTAAATGTATCTTTTGTCACAGTCTGACATCAAATTAGTCTAAACTCCATAAATATGACCTCGATTACATCTTTTAACAGTGAGACGATGGGTTGGATTCAACAAGCGTTCACTTCCTCCTACTACATGGAAAGTAGTGGCAAGTTAATTATTCGACACGAATAGCATCTTATTGGATGCTGCTCCAGACAGATGGAGGGCGCAGCAATAAGCCCCGCCCACTCCTTTGACCGTGTAAATGTACAGTTCAGTTGTTGATCAAGTCACTGTTTGCAAGTAGTTCAAGTGAAAAGGAAAAAAAAAGCAAAATAATAAAACGTGTGGATTTTGTTTGCTTGTGTATATTAACGAGCAAACAATTAAAGATTTGTAATGATATAATATTTCTTTTCTTGTTTCTTCTTTTTTATTTTTATTTTCAGATTATTGATATATTCTGATATATTCTGGTTCAGAAGCCTCGTGCAGCCAATGGGTGTCCTCCCCCTCCACGCCTCCCTCTCCCGTCCTGGGAGAAACATTTGACGTGGCAAAGAAGTCCGGTAGTGACACGGCTGCCCGTCATCGCCTCTCCTCCTCTTCCTCCTCCTGGTGCTCCGTGGCTCTCAAACCTCCGCAGGTAGCCACCGGTCAGACAGAGGGACCCGCCGCTGGAGAAGAAGAGCAATATGTGGCTGATCGCGCTGGCCTCCTTCCTCCACTGTGCCTCGGCCTACGACGTGGATCTGCAGAAGCTGGGCGGGTTGGCCAAAGCCAGGGTGGAGGTACAGTACAGTGCGCCTGTACAGCAGGCAGAAAGCTGCTGGCGAATAGAAACACAGAGCGGGTGTCGTGCATCGGTTCCTTTGGGTCTTTCAAATGCGTCAGAATGTTAAGATGAGTACTTGCAGGGGAAATCGGATGATTGTTTGTGCATGTTGCGGGAAAAGCGGGGACAAAAGCGGAGTTTCGTACTGAATCGCTGCGAATGAATGTGGAAAACGTGAAGCGGTTTGACTTTCCAGTCGCTGCTGGAGTGTGAGAGGTTCTCGGGCTACACGATGAACAAAAGCTGATGAAAGTGAAGCATTTTCACCCCGGGATGACACTTTGTCACCAACCTGCCGGCTCCAGAGACAAAAGACATGATCTGATGCTATTGTTGTCTTGGTCACATTTCGCCTCGTACCTTTGGCTCAGATATCCAACAAAAGTAGCACAGACGAACCTCCCAGAATCTCAGTGCTGCACAAAAGGTAAATCTGCACTGATTCCAAACCCTGCTGGCAGAGAGGGTCTATCAAGCTGTTTTTTTCTTCTTCCAGATTTTTTTTTTGGGGGGGGGAAAGAAAGAAAAATATGCAGTGACACATATTTGAGCTACAAGTTTTCATTGTTGAGGAACAGCATGCCTCACTTGCTGTTTGTGAGTTTTTCCTCCAGTCTAATTTTGCCTCTTTGCAGACGTGTGGCGGATGACAACTGAATAGACTCAGAGAGGTAAGTCGTATTGTTGAGATACTACACAGCTGGAGGCAGTAGAAAGTAGATCCCGACATAAGAATCTTCTGTGAGAAATGGATCACATTTTACCACCCGAGTTTCAGATAACAAATCTGTTTTAGAACACACACACACACACACACACACACACACACACACACACACACACACACACACACACACACACACACACACACACACACACACACACACACATTAATTCTCTCCTCTGTCTGCAGGTCAAAGCCTTTGTGATGGAGGATATTCCTCTTTAGTATCCTTCCACTCAACTGGAGCTCTGAAAGCATTCTCATTGTTTTAAGTCTAAAAAGCCTTGACTGATCCCACCACAGCCACAACCTGGTGATGAAGCACATTCCTGGGGCTGATCCTGAGCTTGTCCTCCTGAACCACTACTTTGAAGAACTAGATGTAAGTGTCATACTTTTTTTTTCTTTTTTCAAAAATCGGTTTGTCTTTTATATTTCAAAAGAGACGCACAAGTAAATCACAAATGCACAAAACACCAAAGCCAACCAAAAGAAGACACATGAATAACTTAAACATACACACCATCCCCACTGTGAAGCACAGTGGTGGCAGCATTATGCTGCTTGACAGGTCAGGGAAGGCTTGTAAAGGTAGAAGGTAAAATGAATTAAAGGAAAATCCCAGAGGACCATTTGTTTTCATCTGCAAGAGAACTCCAGCTTTAGAGAACATTTGTTTCCAGAAAGATGGCGACTCCCAAGCATCCAGGCGAATCCACGCAGAAATGGTTTGAAGACGAGAAGGCGGATGTTCTGGATTGGCCTAGTCAAAGACCAGATCTCAATCCCATATAACGCGTGATTGTTCATAGCTGAGCCATCAGTTGGAGCTGGAACAGTGTCCAGATGTGCAGCCTGACATATATCCACCCAGAATCTGTGCTTTGATTTCAGCCAAAGGTGTGTCTATGAAATAAGGAGGTGAATCATTTATGTTGCATATTTTTATTTAACTATTACTTTATTGAAACCAGTTTTCACTTTCAATTAAAAAAAATCCTTCTTTGTTTTTTTTTTTTATCAAAGCCATATTTTGTTCATCAGAATAAATTTGTAAAAGGGTAAGACATTAAAGGGGCTGGATGCTTTTTTATAGTCACTGTAAATCTCAATCATATCAGACTGTCTAAACTCTTCTTCGTCTCAGTAAGTGCCTAAAATGTTGTCGCTATCTCAGCGTTGTCATTATTCTCTTTGTTGTGTTTTCAAAAAGCTGTTGATCCCTAATGGATGGGAACAGATCCAGCTGCTAATTTCCCAGGAGCCGACCAAACCGCTGGACTTAGACAAACAAACTCACCAGCGACTCCACAGGGAGCCTAGAAATATCTGTGTCCACAAGCGGCTCCGGCAGCCGTTAGTGTTCAAAATATTGCACTCAAGTAAAACCCTCACATGCAAGAAAGTCCCCAGAGAGGCAGATGTTTTGGAGGAGAGCAGCAAAGAGAATGGAAATTTCATGTAGTTATTATTTGGCATGCATCATCCAGCGGGGTGCCATTTATCTATGAGAGCACTTAAGCCAGAGAAAATATTAACACGGGGATTATCAGGCATTGTCACAATAAAGGCAAGGACAGAGATCTGGATTAAACCAAAAACAGTCTCATCTGAAAAGATTGGGTTGAGTTGGGTTGAAACATCTTATTTTCCATCATCACCTGCATTCTGAAGATCTGAAACGTGACAAAATGAGATTTTAAAAGGTTTTTTCTTTACAGAACTTAGTGTAGAACTGTTTTTTGTGTGCAGTATTATTATAAGCTGAATGTTTGCTTAGCATCAGCTATAAATCATAATTGTATAAATCAAATAGAAAAAAAAAGACATTGTTATTTTCTGTTTTTTCGTGATGCACCTGAGCATCTCAGTGTAGCTCCTGTTTGAGAGAAGATCAGACACGAGTTTGATATGTTGGAAAGCGATATGACCTTATTGAAATCTACTCTCTTCCTCACAGTAGTGAAAGTTTAGGGTCTGAATGAGGATTCAAGATGCGCTCAGCTCCAGCGGAATGTTGCAGCCAATATTCTCATTAAGCAGAAATTGGAGCAAATGAAGCATTAATTTGGAGTCAGGATAATGGTTCTATTTTGGTCTGAGCCAGCTCCTCCGGGTAAAACGTGGCTCTTCAGATCGCGCTACAGTTCCCACTTGCGTGTTGAACACTTCCTCAGGATGTTTACAGGAGCTTCCTCACTGTGTCACATTTGGTTAAAACTGAACTGAATGGTTCAAATGCCGGCTGCAGATTTCAAGAGATTAGACAACGTGATGAAAAATTAGTTGCTGCGTTAGAAGTAAGCGACTGAGGCTGAATAATGCAATATTTAATAAAATATCAAAATGTACTGGCATTTTATCTTGCGTCTTGATAATTCAGGTAAATGAGAATTCCTGTTTTTTTTTCTGAGACTCCGTAATCCGGGCCTACATGCGTTTCTTAGAGAAAAACAATTACTTTTCGAACACCTCCCATGAAGGTTAAATGTGCACAGCGTCTTTGTAATTGCACAAAAATGTTCCCTCATGTCAGCCGTGCCACCTGCCTGCTGTGATCCTGTGATTTGTGGAGGATTTGCAGATTGTGGTCTGCTTTCAGGATGAACTTATTTGGCCAGCCACATTTGCATGGTGGCAGTTCACTAATCAGACTCACAAGCTGCAAAACAAAAAAGAAAAAATAAATATAAAATCAGAAGATGTTTTGATCTTCACTCACACATCAACGGTTAGGAAACAGGACAGACCTGTATTAGGAAGCTGAGTAGTGGTATTCTTTTCTTCAGTTTTTGTCGATATCAGTACTGGCAACATTTCTGTTAAATATAATTGCATCTCAATGTGTCAGACACACTGGCTGTCATGCGGTGTCCTAATCTGGTTTCAGAAGACGACATGTTGGTGCTCGACAGAGTATTACGTCTGGACGTCAAATGATAATGTAACCAATGTGTTCTCGTCACAGCGGATAGCTCTGTCTCACATGACCCGCTCCGAGATCAACGAGCTGCTGGAGAAACTGGGTTTCTACAAGAAAGCTCAACCAGAAGACGAGGTGCCGGAGGAGTTACGCTTCGCTCCCGCCAAAGACAGCCCGTTCAAAGACGACCGCCCGCTCAAATCGTCCATGTCCACTGTAGACACAGAGAACGCTTCCTCAGAGTCCAGCCCAGAGGTCAAGCACGCCGACCTATAACTGTCAGGAATTGACAAAAGTAGAAACGGTCCCTCTGGACCGCTGCACAACCGGCAGATTATCATAGTTCGCTCATGGGGAAAGAACAAGGGAAACAACCACACAGGCTCCTTCTAGTTCAGACAATTTTTTTTTTAAGTTTTAGAGCAAACTATAAATGTAGTTTTGTACTGGAAGTGTTTCATGTTCAATCATCTCTTTTCCCATCTCATTTGAGTTATTTCGTGCTTCCTCCTCCCTGCTGTGAACCTGAATGAAGCCTCAGGTGAAAAGTCGTCTGACCGGCCTGAGGCTGATGCTGCTTGTTCTTGGTGGGCAAGGTGGACGCACGTAAAGACTCAAGTTGTGAATGAAATAAAAATAAATAAAAACTGCCTTCGATGCCTTGTGTCAAACTTCAATCCTTCTGAGTTTAAGTCAGTCCACATTTATGATAGTACCTTCACATCACAAGCTTCGATGCATTTCGTTTGGATTTTACGTATCAGCCTGTCAAGAAACAGCACAAACCTGAAATGGTTTAAATTACTTTTAATATGGAATCTGGGAGAAAAAAAAATCTATGGAAAAGAACTGATGATGGAAGTTTGGGAATACAAGAAAGAATTAGGATTAAAAATACTTTTCCATATTTCTCCAGGTACATATAGAGCCGAGATATCAGCCGGGACTTTCAGTGAAGTTGGCTGAAACTGAAAAAGATAAAGCAATAACCACCTTCATACAGACTACATTTCTCAAATTGGTTTAATTGGTAATTTACATTTTACTGCAGTGCACAGAAAACATGAAATTATACAATGTGTTTAAGTATTCACTTATATACACAAACCCACTCAATGCTCATTGTTTGTGGAATAGTTTTTTTTTTTTTCCACCAAGAAACACGCTTGAAAACAAGTTAACATAATTTTCTCTTAAAAGAACCTTAGAATAAAAATCCTCATTATAAATCTTCTCTTACCTTTATGTGACGTTTTCAGCATTAGTGTCCATACTGGGCAGAGAAGCAAGCCCAGGTTATTACAGAAAAAAAGAAATAAGAACTTCAGCTTATTAAAATACTTAAGATAATTGCCTAATGGCTTCAAGCACAAACTAAAACACCGGCATTAAAACCAATTTGAGCATAAATAAACTAATCGACAGACTTGAGCAGGACGTCGTCATCGACAGTGTGATCATTTTTCTTTAAATACGCCGTCAGTGAGCCGTCAGAAATGATTTCAATCAGCTGCGAGACATCAGGCTCCAACTTCCCCATTTTAAGAACGACAACTTTACCAGCAGCTCTGTGCAGGAAGGTTTTCTTTTTTTTTAACACAAGATCCTCTGACAATAATGAATTCATTTAAATAAGCAAAAATGAACACTTCTGTACTTGTTAATTAAAACTCATTATGCTTATCAGCTAAAACAAATAATTTAAAATAATTAAAGCAACCAGAGTTTGGTTAAAAATGGAAAAAAAAAAAAAAGTACCAGGACAGAAAGAAAACGATATTGCTATCTCAGTGGATTTACCAGCAGAATGGCAGAAAAAAAATGACAGCAGAAAAAAAAATTGGTATAGTTGTATTAAAAGAGGAGATGTCATATGAACAATTCTTTTTTGTGGGGGTGTGAGTGTTAACGCCAGTGAAATGACAGCTGAAATCTGCAACGAGCTCAGAAAATAATAAAATTAAAAACCTTGAAAGATTTTCAACATGCAGACATCCTCTCTCTGTTAAAGAGGTAGACTTTGTGTCAGCAAAGGTTGATTAAAGAAGGAACAATGAAGCATTGCCAACACCCGCTAGAAGCAAAATGACACAAACACACAGAAAATCCCTGACGTGTTCATCAGGGATGTGAAGGACCGCTGGCCACAGGTCAGAGGTCGCAGGGGCGGCCCATGGACATCTCGTATCTGCGAAGGTGGTTCACCAGAGACTGCACGTAGGTGAAGACGCATTTGGAGTCCGGTTTGTTACCCATGATCATCATGTCCTCCACTTCTAGCAAAGGCATGCAGTTGGCGTAGGTCCTGAAAGAGACAGACGGGTCAGGACAAGGCTGGACGCGAGACAACGAAGTCAACTGGGGAGGACGGGCGACCCGTTTCCTAAACTACATGATCTACAGAATCTTACTGATTTAATCAAGGAAGCATATATACATGTATGTGAAGCATTTACCTTTTATGTCAATCATTCTCATAATCCCTCCAGTTTGCAAATAATATAAAGCAAAAAAGTTGGCTAAAGAATCTGGTGTATAAAAATCTAGTACAGATTTTCTAAATATAAGGTGATGTATTCTAAAAAAGACTGAAATAAGTTGATACAGATGCTATTGTCCTGAAACAAAAGCAAAGTTCAGGGGCTCAGATGCTCTAACCAAACCGGGTCATTGTTTCGTACTAAAATGTCCAGAATGTTGTAAAAACAGCTGGAAGCATCTAGAAATTCAACCCCAGAAATTTTGTTTTAAATGGAAAAATGTATTAAAACAATGTTTATTATTAAGTATTTCTTATAACCACCTAAACTGTTTGTTATTATGTGCGACACTTTAAAAGTTCTCAATAAGTAATATTTAGTATGGCCTTGAATGAGTGTTTGCAGAAAGTGACCACAAGGTGGCGTTTGATTCCGCAAGCCTTTAGACATGTCAGAGCAGAAAGTAAAGAGCATCGGAAACATAAACAATAAATCTCTCTCTAGAGAGAAGAACTGTCAACGTGAGGAATGTTTTCCTATTTAAGGATCTTGCTGTGTGATTCAAGTTAAAGTATCTTTAAAAGGCTTTATAAGCGAACAGGATAAACACTTAAAATCTTAAACTCGATCAGATGAGGAGCAGGACAACAAAGCGGTTCTCTCTGCTTTGTTTCTCAACTTAGACAGCAAAACAGCAACTCCTTTTAAAGCACTGCAGTCGGCCCTGGCTTTCTGCCGGCCAAAGACACGGAGCGCAGAGATGCACACATTCACATATACCATGTTTGGTGCTTCAGACCGCAGAAGCTTTATACTAGCGCGGCAGACCAAATGTAAAAAGCAGACATTAATGTTTATCTATTCGTCGCGTTTGCCCTACACTGCTGATTTTTTGCATCCCTAGAAGTTTTCCACATTACGTTACAACCACAAACTACAATTCACTGTGTTGGGATTTACCGGTATACACAGAGAAAATGTAGAATCGTTGTTAAATGGAGGAAAACTGATTAATTGTAATTTGATTTCACTGAAATTACAGCTGCAAGTCTTTTGATGTTGGCAGTATGATTAGTGACCACTCACTCCTGTCGACTGAATAAGTTCAAAACAAAAATCGAGCTGCAAAATAATTGTTTTTCTAAAGATCATTTTTAAATATAAAAGAAGAATGTGATTCTGTTTTTATATCGTCTATAATTGTCCCTGCTGAATACAGTTAATCTCACAGAATGATGCCAACACCACAATGTCTCCCGTGTTTCTATCAAAATATCACCTATAAAAACAGATATTTCTGTAATGTGTTGATTTAAATTCCATGTGGTTGAAATCTTCACAGGTGACCTCTTGCGGTCTTTGATAACTGCATCCATTTTGTTAAAGCTGGATTCCATTTAGGGGTATCAGAATAAAAAGGACTGAAAACAAATACAAACACCAATGGAGAGTTTTGTAAAGATCTCAGTCACACGTTCTTGTGTTGGATATCACATGTTTAAGTTTGTCGTTGATATGTGGCAAAAGTGAAAAAAATTCAAGGGATATGAATAATTTGCAAACCATTAAAAGTCAGAACCGACGCCAGGCCCCCTTAGAAGCTCGTCCCCCGTCTCACCATAGGTTTAGTTTTAGTTGAGAAGCAACTCTAGGAGGAATTTTTGGTTTTAACCAGGCCCTTCGTCACCAGGCCCCTGTAGAACTCCTGCAGGTACGTGTACACACACTTCCAATCCGGCTCGCGCATCTTCACCATGTCGTCCACATCCAACAGCTGGGGGCAGTCCACTAGCTTCCTGCGCCCGCGCCCGAAGGTGAGGGTTGTCAGAGGAGAGGACGAACACAGGGGAAGCGGAGGACAGAGGACAGGAAATGCAGAGGATGAAGGACAGATGCAGAGAGAAAACAGAGGAAGGGAGGAAAAAAACAAACAAAACAAAAACAGAGCAGTGAGCAGCCAAAAAATAAAAGATTCAGTGAAAGAATGAAGGGACAAAAAAAGAACAAAAATAAACATTACACTCAGTGTTGATAAATACATCCATGAGTCAACATGCTTCATGAACTTTGCAACGTCCGACATGTGGCGTACACACACAGGACAAAACACAGTGTCAAATGAGCATCAGCTGATGCCCATTCAGCCTTTAAGTGTGTTGTTTTTTTCTGTGGTTAACTTTTAATGAGGCATGGGCTGAGAACGGCCAACGAGGCACACAGAGTGACGTTTTCAAAGCTTAAAAACGTTTTCATGACATCGTTCTAAACAGTTCAGGGGGTTTTAATGGTAATAGAGACAATGTTGGAGTGACCAGCTGCTCCTTGGCAGCAGTAGAAATCATTCTCACTATTTATTTTTTTTTATATAAACGTATAATTTCATACAATAACTACAAAAACAATTATAGATATACTTTATTTCTAATCAAAGAACTTTAAAAAAGCTTTAATTTAATTAAAAATGAATGTATTAAATGTTTAAATAAGTTATCAGTAAATGAACAATACAATGATTTAATCATGCTATAGATTATGTTTATCGGTTGTTGTATAAATAGTGGAATAGCATGACAATGTATTTTTTTTCGATGTTATCACTCTGAGAATCTCAAAGGCCCATGCCTACTTTACACTTTTATATTAGAATAAAACACAGGAAAAAAACAACGATTGAACAAAATAGTAGAATAAAAACATTCAGCTATGGAGTGACAATAAACACACTTGTGCACGGATGTACATTCGGGGAGTGTGTTGCGTGGATCTTCTGTGACTGGAGATACGAGTGAGGATGCAACACAAAGTGTAAAAGATGAGCCACTGAGGCTGATAACGGTACGGGCGTCATTCTACCTGCGACTTGTGAGAGCACACACACACGCACGCACAGAACAGGTGGGTGGGTCAAAAAAAAGTTATAATGAGATGCAAACAGACGAGGGGAGAAAAAGATGAGAGAAATATGAAGAACAAGGCTCAGATGGGGGGTGGAGGATTTTTTTCAAACCATAGTCAGAGCCGTTGTTCCCTTGAAGGGATGTTTGGAGGCAGAGTTAACGCGGAAACAAGAGGTTTACTCAGCCTCGATAGATGCTTTATATACCTGGGAGAGATGGTTAACATATTTAGACTGTAGTCGATGGTGGCGTGTGGCTTGAAGAGTTAAGTTCACAGAAA